AGAGAGAGAGAGAGAGAGAGAGAGAGAGAGAGAGAGAGAGAGAGAGAGAGAGAGAGAGAGAGAGAGAGAGAGAGAGAGAGAGAAAGACCACAGATGCAGGACTTACTCACACTAGCTCTATGTTAAACGGACCTGAACACATTCACGGTCACACCTGGATGTACCTGACTGCAAATCCGTCCATAAAGAACTACAACAGTCGAGCAAAACACACAACCTGCCTATGAGTCGCTGAAAGCGTGACGAAACAGTCTGGCTCAGTTATGACTTTTTTTCTTTTTTCTGGAGTTGTGTATAGCCAACATGACTTATCATACGCACATACAGAGTAGAAATAGAAAAACAAGAAAGAAAGAAAGAACACGCGCGGAAGCGCGCGCGAGCGAGAGAGAGAGAGAGAGAGAGCCGTCACCGACGCGGGGTGTGCTCACACTCGCTGTACGTTAAATCCTGACCATAGTACCGCCGCACGCACGTATCTGATCGCAAATCCGTCTTCAAATCAGTAAAGAAGTCATAGTGTGGGTGTGCGGTCACGCGCAGTTGGCAGTGGCACCCACAAGGGCCACAACGGCAACATGAACACACCTAGAAAGACGGCCGCACGCACGCACGTATCTGGAAATACACGCACACGCACGCACAAACACACAGAGCAAGCATAACACACACACACACACGAGAGAGAGAGAGAGAGAGAGAGAGAGAGAGAGAGAGAGAGAGAGAGAGAGAGAGAGAGCTACGGGTAGGCAGGAGTCTGCACGAGAATGCTACGTGTGGCTTACGTACGGACTGTGTGAACGTAGCTATAATTTATGGCAGGTACGTTCGGGTAACTTCGAATGTGAGTTGCCGTGAGGATGCATGTATACGAAGCTCGCTAGTAGCCTTACGATGGATTTCACTACAGAAGACTCGGATGAAGGGAAGACGGGCGCTAGCCTGTCAGTTCCTATCCAAGTCATCCGGTGAAGACAGGTTCCAGCGGAGCGTACACACACAAACGCGCGCGCGCGAGAGAGAGAGAGAGAGAGTGGCGGGGGGGGACCGAGAAGGTTCAGTGGGTGCAGTTGGG